CTATAATATAATTCTTATTTTCAAATATTATCAAATAAAATTTTATTTAAGTATTTTAAAATTTAAAAAATATAAATCATAGGCATATTTTTACTAATTTTCCAGGCAAATTTGCCTAGAAAAGCTTACAAATTAAGGGATAATATAATTCTTATTTTTAAATATTATCAAATAAAATTTTATTTAAATATTTTAAAAATTAAAAAAAAAAAAATGTAAATCATAAGCATATTTTTAACAATTTTCTAAGCAAATTTGCCTGAAAAAACGAACAGATTAAAAGATAAAAATTAAATCTAAAAATCAAATACCTAAAGTAGTAAAGAAGCTAAAATAGCCTAACAAAAACTTGCAAAAATTTAACAAAAAAATGCTTAGTGTATTGTGTTATTTCACCTCTGGGTTTTAATACAAGGTTCTTTAAACCTATCACACTAAAGGCTAAAGCTCATTTTTGTTGAGCGCAGTAATAAATATAAATACACAGTCGTGTAAGGAATTATCAATCAAGAAATAAAATTTAATATACAATTGCCACTCCTGTAGAGTAAAATATCCTTTAACCATAGACAACGCGCCCCACACACATTATAAACTAGAAATAGTAACAATACATATATATACATATAATATTTACTTTTGGACGCAGATGTAGGAATTAAAATCAATCAATTATCTCCAACATTCAACCCTCCTTCTTACAACATTTCTTGCTTCTTCTGGTGATAGATGATAAACACTCAAATTTTCAAGCGTTCTATGTATTTCAGTAATTTCTAAATCATTATCAAATAAAACACGCATAATTTGACTCAATGTTTTTTGTTGAGCAAAGTCGTTTTGTTTGGCACTGGATGTCGTCTGATGAGACGAAGGAATAGTAAGAAGAACGCAGGCGTCTTTTAATCTAATGAAGGAAAAAAAATTTTTCAATAAAAAACCATAGTTTTTTAGTCATGTTTACTAGAGTTAACCAATTAATTCATACCTTCTGAAATAATTTTCTGGTTTCTTAACCCATCTTTTTCCAACTGTGAATAATCCTTTAATCATATCTACTTCAAATTGCCTGCCACCCATCTCAGAAAACTGATTTCTCATTAATACTCGATTCCACAAATAATCTTCTGTTTCTTTAGATATTTCTTTGTATATGGATTTAAATACTCTTGTTGGCAAATGATTAGATAAAAATGTAAGAGAATGAGCCAAATCTGACAATGGAGTATAAAGCTCCGGTGATAATTCAATTTCTATATTAACGTTATTATCTTTTGAAGATGCAGCTGTTTCTGCTTGTTTGTACAATGGTTGATGAGATATTATAGTAGGATCAATGTTGTAAATGTCTGATCGTGACCAATTATTTCTGAATAACAACAATTCTCAATTTAATGATCAGTAACTTAAAATATTGAATTTTATAATGAATACAACTTACTTTCTGAAGTATGCTTTCAACCCATTAAAAAATCCTTTAGATACATTTTTTATTATTAATGATTGAATCTTTTCGCAAGAACTATCAAATGAACCTGCGGGATCATCAAAAACCGTTCCTTCATCAACAGTAATTTGCACTTCTTTATTTACAGATGATGTGTCTTGTAGTTGATCAGAATTCTCAGATGAAGTAGGTGATGGCAAGGGTGAAGTACCAGTATTACGAGATGCACGTAAAGTGACTTCGTGCCATAGCTCAAGGAAAAACTATATTATTATTTCAAATTAACCAAAAGAATTAAAGACATGAATTGTGAACATATAAAAAAAAAAATCTTAATTTCTTACAGCGTCTTCACCCCATTCTTTAATTGTTCGACTAACAAAGCCAGCACTATTAAGCCATCTACATAATCTTTTTAGATCTTCAATACCAGTATGTGATTTCCCATCCGAGTTTGTAGAATTTGGAACCGATCTTACAAAAGAATAACTTAAACTTTTTTCAAATGCATCCACAGCAGAATCAATTCTTTGTGCGTAAGCCATTAATAACTCTGCTTGAATATCAGCAAAAAAACGAATACGATTATGAAACATGGGCAATAATTTATAGCGACCTAATAATAATTATTATTAATTTCAAATAAGAAAAATTTATGAATAAATGAATAACATTGAAAATCAAATAATCATGACAAATAATAATTACAAAAAATAATAATTATAAAAATTATTCATACCTGTAATCAACTCCAAAAGATTTGTTAATTTTCCAGATGATTTAGTTGGTCTAAAGTCATCTTCTGGGATATCCTCATCTACCAATTCCCAAGCATCTTCCGAATGCATTATCTCATTATAACGTGCTTCTGCAACTAAATTACATAAAATGTTATGCCGAGAAGAATATAAAAAGTATATTAAAAACAACTTACATTCTTTTTCAACTTTTAACCAAGCCTTAAAAGTCTCTTTTTTTCCAGTGAAAACTTCAACACACCCTTTCCATTCACTCTGCCCCGGTGGGACATACATGTGTAATTCGCGAAGTGTTTGATCAAATTGTAAAGTTTCGAAAACTGTATGAGAAAATACTTGTGGAGATTTTAATAATGTTGGTACACTTTGTGACAACTTTTTAGTTACAGCGACAAGCAAGCAACGTATAAAATCATTCTATATGTATGTTGTCGATTTAACGATTAATATATTAATAGTTGTAAGGATAGTAGTCATTTGAATAAAAGTGAGAATTTGTACAAACCTTTGCATGATATTCTTGAAAACCAGCCTCGTCTACAATAGCTTGTATAGCACCTTGTAAGAATGGAGAATGCTCATGTATTGTGGTGATAACGTGAGAGAAATACCATTCAGGCTAAAATAAAGCAATGAATTAATTTTATTAACAAATAATTCATAATGAAAGGTTTCTAAAAATCAATGAGAAATGATAGAATGAACAAAGCCACATATAAATTTATAAATAACTTGAGTGAATTTATTTAATTAATTTACCTTGTCTATGCGAGTAGTAGGTCTTTTCGAATCAAAATGATAACAAAATCGTACGATCAAAGGTTCAACCATTATTTGAATGGGTAAAAGAGGGGGAAGTTCATCATTTTGATCAGGAGAAGATTTTGTAGAAGCTGATTCACCTGAAATATTAATCGGCCTTTGTAATAAAAGTAATTCAATGAATGCTTTTTTAAATGATGATAACTTGTCAGTTGTGACTTGTGGATATGGAAGCTTTATTGGCGTTGGCCAATTAAGAGCATCAAGTGATTGCTGAAATTTCCTAGTTGAATGACAAATATGAATAATCATGAAATTTCCATAAAATAATAAATTGAAAAAATATTTTTAAAGTAATTATTAACAAACTTTTTCAATTTATCTTTCATGTCTTCCCAAAGTACATCCACACTTTGTTGCAAAAACACCTCCAAATGAGAGACCACATGGCCAGCATCCTTGCTTTTAGATTTTATGCTATGCAAAAGGTTCGCAAGTTGAATATATGGATTAAGGGCTTTATGAGGAGATCTTTCGATTAAATTTTTCGTCTGGGCGCTTTAAAAAATTAGTAAGTCTTAACAATGAGTTAATCCGGTTAAAATTAGTAAGCAGGTAACTAAAAATACCTCAATTCTTCAGCGACGACCAACACTTTGAGATACTGTTTTGATCTTTCTAGGCTGTCAACCTGTTGTTGCAGCATGGTTAACTCATCCATTAGTGTCTTATTATTTGAAAAATTTTCTTGCAAATTCGATGGATTGGTTGAAGACACGCTATTACAATAATCAGTTAAGATGTCATCAAGTTCTAGACGTGTGGCCTGAAGATCTTCAAGTTCTGTGACCGTAGAATTAAAGGCTTGAAGAGATTGTTTAAGTATTTCTGAAGTTTTAGACTGTGTTTTAATATACTATAAAGAAAATCCAGATTTCATTAGAATGGCGAAAGTACATGGAAGAATTGGTAAACACACCTTCTCATTCAATTTCTGTTCATTATTCTTCACTTCGGACAGTACTGTATTCAACTTCCCCAGGTCTTCAAGATCAGTAAAACGAGTGTTGAGAAAATCAACGACGTAAATCGCGATTGAACTTTCATCGGGTTCTTTGATAAACGATTCAAGTTCTGATGCTGCCATTCTTAACGTAGTTAATTAACGTTAATTCGATATCTTTGATTACAACACTTTCGTGTATGATTGGCTATTGATATACCTCGGATAATGTGTCGATCATACCCCGGATAAAGCATCGATCATATGCCCATAATTCCAAACTCATACAGGGGGATCCCCAAAATTCTGGGTCGGAATACTTCGAATCATGATCGGCAGGGCCGGAATTAATTAATTTTACCCAAGATCACTAAAAAGTTTTACTGATGAAACCATAGTTCACTCATTAAGTAAAACTGCCCAGCTGATAATTTTGGCCCAGAAATAGTTAACTTGCATTACTAAATGCTAACTAAATACCAGGCTAAATTCGATGGTTTCGACCCGGACTTTTGGGGATCCTCCTATATGAGTTTATAATTCCATATTACAGCTGTTCTCATAAATTTTGGAACATTTGGTGAAAAATTGACCGAACGATTGTTTGGCCGATTCGATAAGTTCATGATTTCGGTAATAAGGACCGCCACCCCAAAAAGTCTCGAAAATCATGTGATATTGGCAATTCATCATGATTAGGATCATGATAACAGTATTAATTTAATATTAATATAATTGATTTAGTAATTTTTTTTCTTCGATTCTTCAACGTAAAAAGTGATCGTTAAAAGCATAAAATTCAATAATTCAATAAACACACTTTAAAAATATATGTTGATTGCCGTAACAAAATTTCCACTAATAATAAAAGAATGTCAAAATAAAATTTAAAAAAAATGCAATTGTATCAGAAAACCTTGTAGACTTTATTTTTAATGCTTTTCAAAAGATTATGACTCTTATTATTTATCTGAGTAAAAGGTTTTTATGATTCTGAATCCAGGAAGCAACAACAAAAAATTATTAAAGAAAACATAATAGACTCAACTAGTAACAAATGACTTGATAATATTAATAAAAATTTTGTGTAATTGCATAAATTGAAGGTTATAATTATTTTAAAAGGCAATAGAATGTTTCAAATACTTAGAAAAACTATAATCATAATACTTTCTAACTGTAACAAATATTATGTTTATTTAGTTATTCAAAATAAATAAAATTATTAATTTATTGCTTATCAGTATTATTTTGTTAGTCTAAATCTTTGGTTGTATTTATTTGTTAAATTAGTAAATTTATAGTGCTTGATGTTCAAAACTTTTTTAGATGGCAATTTTATCTTAGTTGTAATAAGTGATTACATAATAATGTTATCTTTGCTAAATAGTACATTGTGATTTCAATAATGATTGATATAAATAATAGTTACTTGTACCTATCATTATTTTTATCTTTGCAAATAACATTGTTAAGGCATATTTGTTAAACAATTGTTGAAAAATATTTGAAAAATTTAACAGTTTAAGTAATTGCCAGACATCTATATATTAGCATGTCTTCTATAAGTCAAATTCTTAAGTATTTTTGAAGATATAGATGTGTTAAAAAGTTTCTAGCACTTTTAGAAAGACTATGTTTATTAAATTTAGAGGATATAAAGTATTTTAAAACTTTATTGAACAAAAAACCTAATTGGTACTTGTATAAATTACAATTAGAGATAAAGCTTTGATTAGAGCATAAAATTGGTTTATTAACAATTTGAAGAGTACTACATTAGCTTGGATATACCAATAAACAAGTATATATTTTAAATATATATACTGTAATATTATAATTTTATATTAAAATTTAATTGCATATAGATTTCAAAACTTGCAAAAGAAAGGAATAAAGAAGACATAAATAATTTTGTTTTATAAATGTCTTAATATACACCAAATCAGTTAGTTTTTTTAGATGAATTAGCTTATGATGGAAAAACATTGTCACATCATTATGATTAGAGTTTTTCTAGAATGCATACTCAAAAATATACATTTTTTGTTTAAAAAAAACAATTTATCATTGAAGGTGCATTGTGTATTGATGGTTTTCTGATATATAGTATTTAAGAAGGTTCTATGAATACTAATAATTATAAAAATTTTATTAAATATATATTAGTAAGCAAAATTTATTTAATATTAACATATAAATATATAATATTATTAATTAAACATATATATCAATATATATTGTAATATGGTTGCTTAACCTAACTAGATTCTAAATATTTGTTTAATAAATATGTCGTCGCCAGTCAA